TCTCTTTTGGCCCATTTGGATAATGAAAGTATTGAAAGTAAGGAGTAGGTTGCAGAAGTAACTTTTAAAACTATGAAATAGGAAGTAGCGGAAATAGCAATTTTTTGTTTCATATATTTTTAGAAATAATGGAAGTAGAACTTCTTCCTCTTCATTTACTTTTTTTTTTGTTTGAAAAATATTTGAAAATATCACTAGGAAGTAATTAATACATGTTGCTTCTATTTTAGGGCCCATTTGGATAGTTGGAAGTTTTAGAATAAGAGGTAGATCTAAGAAGTAACTTCTAAAATTATAAAGTTTATCATCTCAAATTATACTATACAGAAAAAAACCTAAGAATAATACTAAACTTGTTGCTGATGTATCTCAAATTATTCTACAAGAAAAAAAATATGTGCACACATATCAAGGACCATATTAGAACATCTGATCAATCATATAGGAATGGAAACTAAATAAATTAGCTCAAAAAATGTTGGGATATACAAAACAAAACCAATTTCTTATCAAGATTTGTATCTATACGCAACTCATGTTCACATGTATAAAAGAGGGGCACATGTGATTAGATTATGAAGACCTTGAATCTAAAATTGACCTGCAACTTTTTCATAGTGCCGAGAGATTGCATATCCAGACAGAGGAGCGGTTATTAGATCCCTAATTTCACGCATGTTACAAATCTTCATGTGGAGCCCGCAAGTATTCTTTTATCTACTTCAAACCTATTTTAGAGTCTTGAAGGGTGGAAAAGAATCTAGGAATGGAGATGCCACATAGACACCACATCATCATTTAAGGAAGTAGCGAAAGTATATTTTCAAGAGAAACAAACATACATTTTTGCCTAGAAGTAGCAGAAGTAGCCTCTACTTCCTCTACTTTTGCTATTTCACAGTTACTTCCGTGTAAACAAATAGGCCCTAAACGTGGGAGTTTGGAAAAAACTTTTCATGGACAAAAATACCCTCAATTATTTTAGACATTACATTATTATCATATTCTATCCTAATGAATTTCAATTAATAGGTATAAACTTCAATTATCCTCTCTCGTGCTAATATATATGAAAAATAGGTATGCTTGGTACCAAACACAAAAAGTTGTGCTTGGTAGTGAGGTGACATAATCCCCTCCACTCATTCAAATGGTTGCATATCCTCATGTACTCATCAACTCATGTGAATGCGGTCCCCCATTTGAATAAGTGGAGGGGATTGTGCCGCCCACTTACCAAAACACAAAATTTGTGCTTGGTACCAAGCATACCCTAATCTATCTCTCTCTCCTCTCTCTCTCTATATATATATATATTATATATATATATATAATATATATTATAATATATATATGGGAAAAGTGAATCTAAGGTGACACCCTAGGCTCCCACCTAAGGACGCGGCCTAAAATCACATCATTCTCTAATATTTTTTTATGATCCGCCCGTTGAACTTGATCTACACATTCTTAAACTCAAACACACCAATTTTGGGGTGAACCCGTCGTGTTTTGACCATTCGTTGAGTCGTCAAAAAGTTCTATTCATTCGAAACCGTTTAAAATTATGGCGATAGTGGTATGAAGGGTCAAAACACGACGGTTCACCCCAAAATTGTGATGTTTAGGTTAAGAACGTGTAGATCAAGTTCAACGGAGCGGATGCTAAAAAAATATTAGAATGATGTGATTTTAGGCCGCGTCCTTAGGTGGGAGCTAGGGTGTCACCTTAGATTCACTTTCCCTATATATATATATATTATATATATATATTATATATATATATATATATATATATAATATATATATATGAGAAAAATGGAGAACCTTGGTATCAAGTTGCTTAAAGCAACTTGGTAGTGATGTGGCCTAATCTTGTCCCTACATCACACCTCGAGAAAGAGCCCTCAACCACCCTTCACCAACTCCAATGCTAGATATAGAGACAAAATTAGGTCACATCAACATCCAAGTTACTTTGAGCAACTTGTACCAGTTGCTCCATTTCTCTCTCTCTCTCTCTCTCTCTCTCTCTCTCTATATATATATATATATTAATATATATATATATATATATAATATATTATATATATAATATATAATATAATATATTATATATATATATATATAGCTCAGATTAATTTAGTGCGTTGAAAATTATATTAAGGTATAGATAATTATTCAACCTTCATGTTGAACCACTACTCTAGAAATTACAAAGTGGAAAATCTCAGAACTTGCAAAATTTATGTACTAGAGAAAACAATAAATGTTTAAAATTTTGACAATCTAAAAATATGAATTGGTATCTAACTAGTAAAAAAATTAAACTCTTTATCTTTGCATTTGTTTCTTATATTTTAATTTAAACATAAAGATACTCTTTTCATAAGCTGTTTCCAAAATTAAGAAGACAAATGTCAATTTTGTGTGGGTGGCCAAGCTAGAAAATATTCAAAATCCATAGAATTTGCACAACTCATAAGAATACAAAAAAGGCATAGTTTAGAAATTTTACAAAAAAGATCATCATTAGTAGAAATATCTTAAAGACTTTCAAAATTTGTATATATTTCGTGCTAGAATCCCAAAGACTTCAAAACATTAAATTTTTATAGAAAATACCTAGATTTTATAAAATTTATAAAAAAAAATCCAAAAGAGTTCCTTACATTTCAAATTATCCTAATTAATAGAAATATCATAGTAAAATTTCATTGTGATAATGTTCTAATTAATTAAAATATCTTTAATAAGATACAAGATATAAATAAATTTTCAATCTACATGTCCAACTATTTATCAATAAATTTAAAAATAGAAAACCTCAGAACTTAAAAAATTAATTTACTAGAGAAAGTATACAAAATTTTATAACTTCGACCATCTAAAGATTTAAATTTGATACCTAACAAGTAAAAG